ACCGGCAAAAAGGCAACAGGTAAAAAGAGCCTTGGTGGCTCTGGGTTCTCAGGTGGGTCGGATCGTTCGGGGCGAGCACACCTCCCAGAATTGGAGTCCCAGGCTGTAACCCCCGTGGATAATCGTTCAATATTGCATGCGCCAAAAATTAAGTGAAACGTGTTTCGGTTGCTCAAAATCATTGCACAGAGAAAAAAGGTTATCACACTTTGTGATTCTACAACTCATCGTTACTTTCTGTCCTTTAAAATAAAGTATTTTTTGAGCAATACCAAGAATAAAAGCTTCTTCATATTATTTGTTAATTTTATATTGTCACAATTGAATCAATTTAAAAGGGGCTTTTTGAAAACGGGATGATAAATATATTTAATGGTTATTAAGAAACATCACCAATTGTATCATACAATTCGTAGTAATTTTTAATTTTTGATTTTTAAACATCAATTATAAAATCAAACTATGAAATGGAGTAATATTACACTAGTAATAATTTTTTTTATTGATGGAAATTTTTAAAGTCACAAAGCGAATGAAAACATAAAATTAAAATAATGATGATTCAAAAAATTTCACAAAAGTCTATTGTAACCAGTGCTGCCATCGCTTAGCTTGAAAAACAGGACAGATAAGCCACAAAAAACAGGGAAAAAAAAGGATTTTTTTTCGTTGAAAGAGTCAAATTTAAAATTTATAAAGGCGCGAACAAAAAAAAGGAGCGGATCAAAAAAAGCCTAAATTTAAAAGCTAAAATTATAAAATAAATTTAATTTCTGAAAATTCCTTTAAAAATATAAAATTGTTGCGTTATGACTGTGAGTATTTTTAATTAAGTACTATCCATTGGGATAGTTCATTCTTATAAAAAGTAACTTTAATTTAAGAATTAAATTGCATTTTAATAATTTTCTAGTTTTAAATATCTGATTTAGCTATTTAGTGACCCGGCTGCCAACACACAATTATTTCTGTTTACATGTCGCCGCCTATGATAAATCTTAAATTGGCTGTCAACCGAAAAAAAATCGAATTTAAAATTAAATCCAGTTTTCTGGATTTGGGCCATATCCAGCTTGTTCTATTCGGATGATTTAAGTTTGTACCCATTATGATTTTTCAACGGATTTATTTCGAGTTTTTACGATATATACAGCCGATTACAGACGACCAAAAAATTTAGCCTTGCGCTGCCATTACTATCAATCATATTAATCTGTATGGCAAAATTAAGCTTTTTCTTAAAATAAAACTAAAACTGGCATTTCAAGTAACATTTCATACTTTAAAAATCGGTAAAAAATCACGAAAAAAATTTCTAATCTGGGTCGTCAAACAAAATTCAGCTGGAGCATTTCGGCTGTAAACTAGTGTTATTAAACAAGAAAGAAAGCTAGCTTCGGCCAGCGAAGCTTTTATCTTTCGATCGTTCCTATTAACTTACAAATCGCAAAGAGTTTAAATTTCGAATTATTTTAATATTATTTTTTCTATCCTTCCCTATTGCAGCTATATAATATAGTCGTCCGATTTTTGTTAAATTTAATTCAAAACTCTGAAATATTAAAAAAATCATATCCGAGTATAAGAGAATACAATAAAAACCAACGGAGCTATAATTTGTTTCCAATTAACTTCCCATTAATTTTTCGATCGTTCCTATGGCAGCTATATGATATAGTCGTCCGATTTTTATAAAATGAAAATTGAAATTCGAAAATATTTAAAAAGAGTCATGTTCTAAAGTAGAAGAGAATACAATAAAAACCAAAAAAGCTAACATTTATTTCTGTGTAACTTTCCCATTAATTTTCCGATCGTTCCTATGGCAGCTATATGATATAGTGATTCGATTTTCTTAAAATTTTATTCGAAACTCAGAACTATTTAAAAGATAATATTCCCAATAGTAGAAGGTAATATTTTAAAAAACACCGAAGCTAGAATTTTTTAACGTTTTCTTCCTATGGGAGCTGTAAGATATAGTTATCCGATCCGGTTGGTTCCGACTTATATACTACCTACAATAGAGAGAAGACTTTTGGGAAAGTTTCATCGCGATAGCTTCAAAACTGAGAGACTAGTTTGCGTAGAAACGGACGGACAGATCGGACAGACGGACGGACAGAGGAATGGCTAGATGACTTCTAGTGATGCTGATCAAGAATATATATACTTTATGGGGTCGCAAACGTCTCCTTCACTGCGTTGCAAACTTCTGACTGAAATCATAATACCCTCTGCAAGGGTATAAAAAGTCACAAAGCGATTGAAAACATTGAATTCTAATAATGATAATTCAAAAAAATTTCACAAAAGTTTATTGTAACTCAATTCCCACCAACTTTAAAAGAAAGAGATTTTTTATCACGTGCTGATGAAGCACTGTACAACCGATTTGTATTTCTTTCCGTGTGGATAAAGTCTGGATTTGCTTTCGGTTGGTGCCGGACCGCCGTCCACTGTCCGCCGCAGACTGGCTTTGATTTGTTTAGACGCTCGTTTCATGTTTTGTTTGCGCAACCAATTAAAACTTTGTATTTTTTCCATGGGGTCTGTTTGCAGTCCAAAACGGGTTTGCCGATCCAACACTTTTTTTTTTGGTAAAATTTTCAGCTGAATTTCGAGTTGTAAACATTTGACACCGTGCGTCAATTTGGGTATGTGGCCAAAATAAATGTTGGCCCGGGGCGGAGTTGCCTTGTTTTTGGGGCGGTACATGACCGCACTTGGCCAAAAGAGATTTGGCATCACAATTGGAGCGAAACTGGCTTGAGTGGCTCTTTGATATCGCCTATTTAACTCTTATTCTAGGATTCTGTGAGATAACTTATTTTACTTTTATAATTTTTTTGTTAAAATAGGCCAACATATTTTAAAATATTTTTTTAAAGATATATAATTACTCCGATAATTATTTGTTTATTAAAGAAAATTAAAAAATGGAGAACACGTATCTAAAAATATACTTTAATTAACTATTCATTATTGCCTAAATTCGAGTGCTAATTTTAAAGAATATAATAAAAGATGAAGAGCTGTTTTTTCTAGGCTGCAGTATAATCCGATTCATTGTAAGTTGGTTGCTTAAAATTTCTAGATTATGAGCAACAATACGGCAGCTATTTATAGCCTTTTCGTGATTTTTAGAGATCACGCGCCTCTTGCAGTCGCCGACTGAATTTTAGAGTGGATCCCGGCTCGCATTTTAGTCGGTTCCAAGTCATCGCCGCGTGTCAATGGACCAATGGACTTTATCGGGGGGCTGGGAACGGAACGGTCGGGCGGTCGAAAAGTTGGGCCGACAGACAAACAGCTCGCGGGCATCGATGGCCATTAGTTTAAGGTCTGCCACGGCAACCCGTCGGGAGTAGATGAGAAAAATCAACAGACTAGGGAACTCAATAAAATAGCCGCGGATGAAAATGAAAATGGAGGGGAGGCCGATGGACGGTGGCTAATGTATCTGCGGGCTGGACAAGTGAATCGAATGGATCGCCATGTAGTTGTCGCACCCGTGACGGATGTGTCTGGTCATTCATTAAAGGTGCCGCTGGTTTTCATTAAGAATCCGTTCGGAGGAGTACGCGGAAATGCAATAATGCAATGCAACCCTTTTTCGAGGACGAGAGCGTCCTTGCCCTAAATATTCACCGCACGGCATTGTAGCCGCTTTATGGCCAATCCTTTCTGCTTGTGTGTTTGCAAACAATTCGATTTTATGGCCGCCTAAGCGAATTTCCCCGCCTCAATTAGGCTGAGGTTGTAAACTCATAAAGCAAACACGCGAGAGTGCGAACGCGGAGCAGGCAGCCGGCGGGAAAAAAGGGAAGAAAACGGGGCCGGCAGGCATTCCGTTTGCACAGGATACTCGCAAATACGCATGTCCTTTTTTTCGGGCGCAATTAGCCGGCGGGAAAATCCCAGTCTGTTTATGTATATTCTCCGATATCGATCCCAGCGATCGAGTTCGTGTCCGAAGTCTTTCGTTCGCCATTCTTGGCTTTCTGCCCATGGGTTCGCCCCTCTCTAGTCTGTTTGCTCGAACCCAGTTCCAATCTCAATACCAAAACCAATCCCAGACCCGAAACCCAAACGCAGACTCATTTACATATTGCTCGTTTTCTGCTGTTTTCGCTGCGCCTAAGTATGTTTGCCCGGTCCGATCTCTCCGTGTTTGCTTTGGGCCATCTTTTACCATCTCGACCATCTTAAACATCTCGGCCTGTTTGCCGCTTGTCTACTTCTGGCTCTTCGATGCCGCTGCAGGATTTTCGTGGAAATGTTTAGCTTTAACGAGCTATAAACTTGAAAATGGCGTGACTTGGTAAACAAAGTTGATTTCGCTTTGAAGATAAACTATTTCAATTAGTGGCTAAGTTTTACTGTATGGAATAAAATGGAAATATACAAACATAGATGTATTTAAGAGGAAGATTTCATTTTTTTTTTTATGGCGGCCATATGTGCACCATTTAAAGATGCATTTTCCTTTAAAGAATATCTTATATTGATCGAAATAGTTTCTTAAAATCCAATGGAAGCTATTCCGGTAGGAAAGACTTCTGCGATTGTCTCAAAAATGGCGTGACTTGGTAAACAAAGTTGATTTCGCTTTGAAAATGAACCATTTCAATTAGTAGCTAAATTTTTACTTTATAGAATGATATGGAAAATTTTGAAAATGGCTTCATATTAGCAGACAAATTTTCCTTATAGAGGACTTTAATTGTAGTTTAGTTTTCTTTAAATATACAAACAAAGATGTCTTTAAGAGGAAGATTTTATTTTTTTTAACGGCGGGCATGTGTGCACCAATTTAAGATGCATTTTCCTTTAAAGGAGATTTTATATTGATCGAAAGAGCTTCTTAAAATCCAATAGAAGCTATTCCGGTGGGAAAGACTTCTGCGATAGTCTCATCGTCATTGTGTTTTCCATCCCAACTCGAATACACCCAGAATTTAACAGCGCAAATCAAGATCTAGACAGGCAAAAAGACGCGGAGCTTCAGCGAAAATGAATCGGCTGTTCGCCAAAAGGACCGCCGCCCGTCCCATGACCAGGATCCTTCTAGGATCATCGGTGAGTCGCCCGTTTCGAGTTACCTGCGTCAGGGACTCCAGCTGCAAGGACGAGTACTCGCTGACCGATCACAAGTACGATGCGATTGTGATTGGAGCCGGCGGCGCGGGAATGCGGGCGGGATTCGGTCTGGCGGAGAAGGGCTTCAGGACGGCCATGATCTCGAAGCTCTTCCCCACCCGATCGCACACGGTGGCCGCCCAGGGCGGCGTGAATGCGGCCCTCTCGAATATGGACAAGGACGACTGGAAGTACCACTTCTACGACACGGTCAAGGGCAGCGATTGGCTGGGCGATCAGAACGCGATCCACTACATGTGCCGGGAGGCGGCGAAGGCGGTCTATGAGCTGGACATGTACGGAATGCCCTTCTCACGGAAGCCCGACGGGAAGATCTACCAGCGACCCTTTGGGGGTCAGACCTTGGAGTATGGCAAAGGTGGGGTGGCCAGAAGGGCGTGCGCCTGCGCAGATCGCACGGGCCACGCCCTCATCCATACGCTCTACGGACAGACGCTGAAGCACTCAGATTGCTGCCACTACTTCGTGGACTACTTCGTCCTGGATCTCATCATGTCGGCGCAGGGCAGCTGCGTGGGCTGTCTGGCCTGGAAACTGGACGATGGGACCTTCCATCGGTTTTTGGCCAACAACACGGTGGTGGCCGCCGGCGGCTGTGGTCGGGTTTACTTCTCCACCACCGCCGGACACACGTGCACGGGTGATGGAAATGCCTGGGTGTCGCGGCAGGAGTTGCCCCTCATGGACATGGAGTTTGTGCAGTTCCACCCGACGGGCATCTACGGCGCCGGTTGCCTGATCACCGAAGGTGTTCGCGGCGAGGGCGGCTTCTTTCTGAACGCCAAGGGAGAGCGCTTCATGGAGCGGTATGCGCCCAAGGCCAAGGATCTGGCCTCCCGGGATGTGGTGGCCCGGGCCATGACCATGGAGGTCCTGGCCGGCAACGGTTGCGGTCCGCTCAAGGATCACGTGCACCTGCAGCTCCACCACATCGATGCGGAGATCATCAGGCAGCGGCTGCCGGGCATTCTGGCCACCGCCAAGATCTTTGCCAAGGTGGACGTGACCAAGGAACCGGTGCCGGTGCTACCCACTGTGCACTACAACATGGGCGGCATACCGACGGATCACAGGGGCCGAGTGATCACCGTGGATGAGAACGGGCGGGAGCAGGTGGTCAAGGGGCTGTACTCATGCGGCGAAACGTCCTGTGCCTCGGTGCACGGAGCCAATCGCTTGGGGGCCAACTCCCTGCTCGACTTGATTATTTTCGGACGCGTTTGTGCCTTGGACATTGCCGAGAACAGCTGTCCGGGTGATAAGCCACCACAGGTGGAGGACAAGGCGACGGATAGGTCGATGGAGAACTTCAAGTGCCTGCGCAGCGCCAAAGGATGTACTCCCACTGCCGCTTTAAGGATCGAACTGCAGCGGACCATGACCAAACATGCGGCTGTTTTCCGCGAAGGGAAACTCCTCAAGGAGGGTCTGCTCAAGGTCGCCGCGCTGTGCGAGCAGTTCAAGGACGTCAAGGTCACCGATCGCACGCTGGTGTGGAACACCGATCTGGTCGAGACCCTGGAGCTGCAGAATATGCTCGCCAATGCGGTGCACATCATAGCGGCCATGGAGAATCGCAAGGAGTCGCGGGGATCGCATGCTCGCGAGGATTTCACGAAGCGCGAGGACGAACTGGACTACGGGGCACCGATGGCCGGGCAGAAAAAGAAGCCCATGGAGGAGCATTGGCGCAAGCACACCATGACCTTCGCCCTGGGCAACAAGGGCTGCGCCTCGATCAAATATCGACCGGTGGTGGACACCACTTTGGACGACTCGGTGGCTCCCATTCCACCTGCTCCGCGCACCTACTGAATATTTAGGGCATTCACTTCCTCTCCATTGTATTACTTAAGATCCATAATTAAATACACACAAAGGACAACTAGAATCTGCTTGTACATTATATTATATTATACCTCTACGTTAAAAATTTGGATAAAATACTAATATTTTTGAGGAAAATCAGTACTAAGTTTTTATGGACGAAATTGGATTTTTGCTTCTTTTTTCTTGTATTTATGTTAAAATTGGCACTACAGCTATTAGGCCAACTGTTTTTTCTAACTTACGAACTCAAAATACTTATTGTTTCCCATGTTTTTTTTGAAAAAAAGTTGTATTGTTGTTTTGTAATACCTATACCTGTTTATAAATTATTTTTCTATAAGAGCCAACTTTTAATATATCTATGATAACTATTTAATCCGACACTTTTAGAAAAGGTACGCATTGCAGCTCGAGCACCTCGAGAACCTAGTGCACCATCCACTATAGTTAAGAGATATTTTCCTTATATTTTATCAAAGATATATCAATGCTTTTTTTATTTTCCAATTGAAATGGTGAACATATCGGTAGCCCATTATTCTCCACTGAATTGAATGGGATGTATTTCCTCTCTACATCCCCTCTTCATGTTCGTTTATGGTCTTCAAGTTTCCTCCCAGAAGGCTTCGTGTCTTCCGGTAGTTAAAACAAATGTCCAATAAGACAATGCTCGAAGCGAGGCCAACGAAAATATCGATAATAAGGGAGGCCAGCCATTCGCGATCACAATTATAACAAAAGAGCAACAAAGCCATTTTCGCCTTGATGAAAAATACGCTAACTGTGACCAACGCGGATGTCGGGTGTTTCCAAAAGGGCTCTGCGGAAATCTCCGCCCATTCGCGAAGATGCAGAAGATCTCGGAGGGCAAAAGTGCCCTGTCCCTCGTCCAGCCTGCGAAACTCCCCCTCCAGCACATGATATATGATCACATCGTCAAAGGCCGAGAATCGTCCTCGAACTGATGTAGGCTTGGAGGTATCGCAAAAGGCCAATTCAACTTCGAGCAAACCCACGGTCGTGGTCGCCAAATGGTTAAAGTTGTTCTCCAGATCCTGGCAATCGCGATCGTAGTGCGAACAGATCAGCAAAAGCCACTCACCGGAAAGTACCTGCCTCCAGTTATCGTCATCGATCATGGTAATTGGTCCCTTTCCATTTTCGCCAGTCAAATCGATTCCGCCTGGAGGAAACTTCGAGTTCTCGGATACGCGAAACGGCAACATGGCACCGGCAGCCAGAAGAATAAGTAGAGTCTTCAAAGACATTGTACTTCAAAGGGTTTTTAATGTTTTCTTCTTCAAGTGGATTTGTTTTTGGAACACTCAAAGTGATAGTAATAATAATGACTTCTACAAGCCTACTAATCAAAATAAGAATTTAGTATATTTATTCAGTAATAACATTAATTTTGGAAGGATGGATAAATGCCAAAAGATTATTAGGTATCCATCTAATAAATAGTTATAATTATTAAGAGTTAAATAATAAATATTACAAACCTACTGAACTAATTAAATACTTTGTTTTACGTCGCATTGAAATGATACCAGCTGATCGAGGGGTACAGTTGCCACCAAGACCACTAACATGGCATTAGCAGCAGATGGCTATCGGTCCAACTCGATTGCTGATGCTGAAGCTGTTCCAGTGCGACTGTTGCCGATGTCTGAGTGTAAATAATTACCCGCCACAGGAATAAGTTGTAGGTTATGCGAGCAATGCTTAAAGGAGGATCCGATGGGAGAGCCTCCCCTAATGACCACAATAAATTATTTTCATTTAGGGGCATTTAGCATAGAGAAAAAGCCGAGTGCCTGGTAAAGAAATAATTTATAGCTGTTGAAAACTTAACATGTTCATTTGGTCGCATGTGTGTGCGTGGATGGGTTGGGGGTAAATGGGAAATTGTTGGGGTGTGTGGGTCCAATAATAATGGCGCTTGTTAAGGCTTATGAGTAAATGTTTCGGTGTGTGTGTGGGGGACGGCAAATGAAAGGCCAACATAACAGGACCACACGAATACTTTGCCAGGACATATCTGCCCACAGCCACCCACTCCCCGGACACCAAGGACATGCCCCAACTATTTGGTATGTATTTCGTGTGCCAGTGTGGATACAATTGTTGCTATTTCATATGGTTTTGCTGCTGGGCGGCTGCCAGCGACAGAAAAATTACAGTTGCATACACATTTGCCTGTGTTAAATTGTCCCGCAACCAATACAAAGTGACCTTTTCATTTATTTTTATGACGGCCCCTCCCCCGCACAGCATTTCCCATTTTCCCAGCCCGTAATGCCCGCCCAGTCTTGGCCATAAAAAATAGTTCGCTCGATTCAACCTTCCTGCGGCAACAAATGTTGGTTACTACGGCCCGAAAGAGGATTCCTGGTAGCTGGATAAAATGTTTTTTTGAATTTGTTTATTTCAGACTGGGCCTAATGGAAGGGAAATCTGTTTGCCCATTTCGGTGCTTTGTAATATTATATCTCTGTTTTCTCTGATGAAGGCTTTTTTGTCCATGAAGCATACACGCTGGCATGCCATTCTCATCATTTACCTTATACATCGAAAATTACCATATTTTTCCAGCTCTATTGGCAGCTCGTACCTAAAAACCATAATTGGTCTCTCAAAGAAGTATTATAAGTATTTATTCGCGTGGGTTGAAAAACTTAAAACTGTCTCCACAACTTTGTTGATATCTATTCGACGCACAAGTTTCTTTTTTGCTGCTTATGGTATTAGGAAAAAGTTTGTAGTACTTCGTTAAAGTTCTAGTTTTAAATAGTTCAACTGAAGCCCTGTATTAAATCATAATGTGAAACTAAATGCATGAAAAAGAAGGGAAATAGTCTCGGAATATATTTTTATCTGAATAAATATGCAGTTTATATTTATTCAATTTCAAAACAAACTTTTTCTCTCATGAAAACTAACTTTTGCGTGCAATAAAAAGATGCAACTTTTTGGGGCATGTGGTTTTTAATAAGAAAGTGATTTTATTTATTTTCTAACTCGCTTTCTTTATCAAAACTTGAGTGTTGGTGTCCTGATATCGGTCTGTACACTGAGGAATATTTATTAATTTCTAATTTGATATTAAATAATCCATTTTGAAGCGACTGCTTGGGGCCATCTATCTTGTGGCACTCCAATGTCTTTACTCTGCTGTCCTGCTCTTTAGCCCCTCGTTTTTTGGCTTCTACTAGTTGCAGTGCCTGATAGCAAGTTTGTAGAAACTCTCGAAGTTGATTCTGCACTTCATCGGAAAACAAAACAAAATGTTTCAGTTTAAGCTTTTACCCAGTCACTTCAGTTTGCGAACGAGTGCAGTGCACTTGCCCCGCAGGAAGATGGAGTACGAAAATTGAATGTGCTATACAAGGCACTCAGAAAAAAGGACCAACATTAAAATGGGTTGAAAAATGTTTTAAAAAAAATATATTTAATTTTTGGGAAAACCTCTTAATTCCTAAACTTACAAAATATATATTATTATTGTTTCATTGACTTATAAAAATTTCACTTTTTCGAATTATATTTCACCGTAATTTTTTCTGAGTGTGCTGTACTGCGCCCTAGCTCGTTATTGGGTTTGGCATTTGAAGGATTTGCCGGGGACATGAGTGGGGGAATATATCTGTTTCGTGGCCCCAGGCGTGGGGCGTTCGAGTGGGCCATCATTTATATGTTGCTCTTCGTGCCTTTGACTCAATCATCTGCTCGTTTAGAGGCAGCAGGAGCTACATAATTTCCATTAGAATTGCCCCGGGAGAAAACCGAGTCAAAGGCAGCCACCAGCCTAAATGCCTACGAGTCCGGGCAGTTTGACCACATTGGCAGCCAACTATTCCCGACATGCCGAACTGCATTTCGCTCCGATCTATTCTCTTGTTTCGCTTTGCCTCGATTTTGTTTTGGGTAATGGTTTCTGGGTTTGGTTTTGGTTCTGGGCTAAATGTTTTGGTTTTCCAACACACAAACACGGGCCCAACAACTTTCGGCCGCATAAATTTGATTTATTAATAAATTATACGCTCTCCACAAGAATAAAATTTATTTATATTTCCATTTATTTACTTGCAGGTGAGTTCCGGCCGGTGCACTAAAAATGTACGGAAAATTGAATTGGCAGTGTGTTTTTGGGTACTTACATTTGCTTCTCGGTAAATTGATGCTCTAATCCTAAACGATTTGAGTGCCTGTTTGTGAAACAAGCAAATGGAAAATATTTATTTTTTAATCCAGCCCAAAAGCATGATGTCGAAAAACAATGTTTTTTTCATGAGCCGCATGCGGAAAAGTATGCAACTGCAATGGAGTTTGTGCAGTGAGTGTTTGTGACGTGAACTATTTCGTAAATGATGTGGTATGTTTTTTTACAATTACATTACAATTTAGAAATTTACAAAATAAACACAAATAGGATTATTGATTATAAAAAGTAATTCACAAAATTTAATTAAATTCCCTTCTCTTTGAACAATGGAATGTCATAATAAAATATCTTAATTAATATCCGACAGAAAAGCGTAGAGTTACATAATATTAATTTGCTTTAGCACATTTGTGTGTGAACAATGGACATTTTAGATTCGGCAATCAAAACCACAGTTTAATTTACCCACAAAAATGTTGACCTCTTTATAAACGTAACCAACTATGTCTTAACTTATAAATGTTATACTATTTGTGACCACAAACTGAAAGCAGAAAGGAACGTCTCAACCATTTCATAGCTGCAGGGAATTCCAGTCGTTATATTGACTGTCAATCGGGAATTTAATGTCGATACTCGGTCGGACGTTCGTGACGGACGACAGACAGTTTCCTACGTTCAGAAGTCGAACAACAGGATGGCTGGATTTCTGGGGAGAAGGCAGAAAATTTGAATAGGCCTGCCTATGTGTGGGCTCTTCCGTGTGTCTGAGAGCATTTTGCTTGTGCAAATGGGGAAAGTGCAGATGATTGCACTCACACATCGAGTTGACACTATTGGAAATACATTGCGTTTGCCTTGCTCTCGGGAGTCAAATGAGTTTTGCATAAACAAACATGGTCGACCGGTCCCTTGCCACCTGCTGCTCAGAAAACAAGTGGTGGACCCGCAGTTGAGTGCCTCGACCAGGAGTTGCCTTAACAAAAGGAAATGAATAACTTTTTGGAACCACATGTTCTTATCACAAATAGTAAATTTAAAATATAAATATATTATTTCAAAGATTAATGATTTTACGTAAATCCTCAAATGTACAATAGATTATTGTACCAGGTATCAGAATAATATTCCCTGGACTCGTGAGCAAAAGAATCAGCTCAGTGCTCTGGCTGGGAATGCATAATTAAGGCAAACAAGAAAAATGAGCAGGCCCTCGCCAGCCATTCCAGATTATTTTTTGTTTCCCACATTGTGAAAGTACTTCCTGCAGCCGAGTTTGCTTCCGTTTTTCAAATTAAAATACGTTTAGCTTGGAGTGCACGTACTCATTTATCATTTTATTATGGCAAGGCATAAGGCAGCAGCAGTTCCTCCACTCTGCCATTTTGTTTTCTTGCGTACTTTCGAATATTACGTGCTGGCCAACGGGGCGCATGAGTAATGCGAGCACATTGTGCACACAGAACTCGATTTTGAAATTGAAGTTTTGCTCTGTTGTCTGCCGACCTGTTTCGTCTGGAGTTTCCTTATTACAGCACCCGCTCTGCAATGCGAATTCCGTTGAGCAGATTTCCATTAATGGTCACTCGCCTTGCTCTTTTCCTTTGTTTTCAGCTCGGTGGCAGCAAATATGAGCAGGAAAAACTGGAAACAATGATAGCACAGACCCAGCAGCTGCACAGAAAATAAAGATTATTTCTTTAAGTTACATAGCTTAAAAAATTTTTCACAACTTTAAAGATATCTTTAATTAATTTTCTTAATAAAAGAGACTATCTTTCTTGTTTTTGGTTTGCTAAATATCTACAAGTATTGAAAATAAAATCCTTAGTTTACAATCTCATTTAGCTTACAATTATTTCCCGTGCAGTGGACAACTAAATTCCGTTGCAATTTCATTTCGCTCGCCCTGCAACGGTTTCCCTGTTTTCTCTGGACTTGGTTTGTTTCACATTTATATTCATTTGTTTTCCGTTTTATTTACCCAGCTCAACCGCAGGAAAAACAAAAAGCAAAAAACTATACGGGTGTGTGCATGTGTACTTAGGTGTATGTATAATTTTCACAGAAAGCCGAGGGGAAAATGTTCGCATTAGAAATTTTTGGGAGCACCAGCGACGCGAAGCAAATTCATTCTCCAAGTTAT